ACCCATCTGACGAGCTTGTCTGCCCAGGTACCCGTTGCGTGAAGTGAACCAAATGCTCCGGAAAGCGACGTTCTTGGCATGCCATAGCCTCGTCACAGGAGCAAACGGATCATATGCCGGAGCGATCTCTTCTTCGTCGGACTTGGCTGCTGCACGAACTGCACGTGATCGCGTTTAGAGACCAAGACGTGTTGAGATTCCTGGTTTGATGGCATTGTTACGTGGGTGGTGTCTGGGTGTATTGTCGTTTCTGTCTGTCTGCAGTTAGCGGTTGCTGGCATCGGCGGATTGTCTAATTGTTGAAGAGACTTAGTGGCTTCTGTTTCGATTCCATGTTGCTCTCTCGGAGTCGTAGCAGCACGGAAGGTTGTTGCCGGCTGTTTGGTCTTTTCTTCGAGACAACATACGCCGATGCGATTGCCATCAAGAAATATTGCGTGCATGGCGAGCCTGACATGGAGGTTGTAATCCGTCGGCAGAGATTTCCTTCTTCCAGTTGTCCAAACCTGCACGTGCTTCACACGAAATACGATCAGCATGGGTCGGAATTGCACAACACCCGCAAAAGGCTGGAGAATTCTGCACAAGCGCCTCTCTGCGGCGTCTGCAGCCTGTTTGATCCTTTGAAGTGCCTGTAAGGGACGGGCTTACATCGCACCTACGGTCAGCATGATGCAAGCTGGTTCTCTTCTCGGCTTTGGGGTCCCTGATGTCTCTGTTCGGCTGAGTCTCGATGTGCCTGGCAAGGCGAAGCTTGGCTGTGGGGCTTTCGATCCGAACGTGGTGGCAGGGCGCCTGTGTGTGCGCGCGTTCGGCCTGGTGGCTGCTTCAGGCTTGAGCCGGGGCATGCTGCAGAACGAGCTTCTCCGTAAATGGTGGGCCTGCGATGCTGGCACGGATTGTGCAAATTTTTTGGCCTCATAGCATGGGCAAAGTTTCTGTGCAGCTGCAAGATTTGAAGGGTTTGTTGAATTCGCTCGGTTGTAGCTATTCGAACGGTACTGGAGTGAGGTTGAGCCTGTCTTGCTTTGTCTCTTAAAGCACAGCTGGCCGCCGTCATTTCGTAGCTCGAGTCGATCGCTCGGAGGAGCAGCGAGCGATGCACGTAGACCTCGACTTCAGTCATCTTGGTCTCTCCGGGGGCGGGAGTTCAAACTTTTAGAGATGATGGGTTCGTCTGCTTCATGGCGACGTTTCTTGGACACGAGCTCCTTCTGCACGTCTGCGGTCAGTTTTGGCCACAACGGCCCCGGAACGGGAGTATAGTGCACACTTGGCACGTATTTGAAGGGTGCTGCGAGAACCCAAGCATAAACCACCGTGTAGGCGATGGCGCTTGCATCGTAGACCTGGTGCTTGTCCATGTTCTCGGGCTCGAGGAAGAAGCGCCGCTGATCTGTTTCATGGATACTGGCTGGCTGCCATCGTCCGTTTTTCTTTCTGCCGACAGGAAAGGAGTCCACGAGAGTGACTTCGCCAGCAAGGTAGCTGGTTTTGCTTACGGCGATGGCAAACTTACCACGTTTGCGGCACATCGAGCCGCGCAGCTCCCAGGTCTTGTTGCCGTCGAAGACGCGGGCAGCCCACTTCTCTTTCATCACGAGTGCTTGTCTCGGACCTTCGCTGCATAGCGCCCCTGCCGCCATGGATGCTTTGACAGCTGGCTGTGTTGTGCGTGCTTCTTTGAGTGGACGCTGCCTGTGAGAAGACGGTCTTCGTGGCTTTTGAGAGGGGAATGCCGTCATGTAGCACTGTGTCTCTGTGGGCTTGCACGTTTTGTAGGTTGCCGCTAGTCGAACGGTTTGGGTCAAGATGTCTGGCACGCAGCGGATCCAACGACACACAGGCTCTTGCTTCGCTGGAGGTGGAAGCGGAAGGTTGATGCCTGCAACAAGATTTGGGGATTTGCGATGACAGAGATTGTCAGAGAGAGAGAGAGAAGAAGATTGAAATGAATGGTCTTTCGCTCTTTTTGCTTGCGAGTCGTCGAAAGCAATGTCCGGTATCTCTCGAGGTTGTGAGCATCGGCCAAAATTGGCGGAACCTTAGCTGGCAAGGGGACAGCCGGAAGGAAGGCTGGGGCACAGAGATGGAGTTTGATGCTTTCGTCACAGCTCGCAAAGCACTGCATAGGTGCGTTCTAGGTGCCAGGTGATCGCCGCTGTGTCTTCACTTCTGCGATTTGGCTGGCTTTTTTCTGCGCTTTGTTGGGGATTTCTTCGGTTTGGAGCATCCTTGAGAAATCGTCACCGTGACGGAGTAGTGGTTCTTGCCGTGTAGCTCGACCTTTACCGCAGTTGTAGGAGCCAAAGTAGTGCCGAAGCGGAGCAATGCGACCAGATATGCTTTGATGGCTGTAGCGAGGCTACTGCGTAGATTTGGGGTTCGCATGCTCGACGTTTGTGCATCTCGCCTTGTCTCGGCCACAAAAGCCGCGAATGCTTCCCACTTAGCGCAGGTATTGTTGGTCCAGGAGCCCCAGCACAATCGGTGCCAAGCTTTCGGCACCGGGGTTCGGTTGTTAAGCTGGCTCATGTTCCATGTCACCGGGTGTTCCAACATCTCGAAAGCAGATATGTTGTCGGCTGGCGAGCACTTTGCCCTTGAAGGCTTTGTGGGCATTTTGTCCTCGGTGCAAGCAACCGTGGCCTTTTGATTGATGTCAGTCTGGCGCGACGTCAGCTTGGTGCCTGGCCAAGGTTCTTCGCTGAAGCGGTGCGGGAGGCCTTTGTAGCTGATGGGGCAGCTTGAGCTGAGGATGGCTGCAGTCCGCAGGGCGCCGAATATGCGTCCTCGGCACAGGCTTACGTTTCTCGAGTTTGGAAGCCAGCGCACGCGCACTCAGCTTTTGCCATGTGTTGCTCGACTGGTGATGGTGTCACGCTGCTCTCTCCCCGAAATTCTGCATCTCCCAGTGGGACGTCATTGTCAGTGTCGCGGTCGATGGAAAGGCCCTTCTCTTTCAGCGTGCTTCTCCGGCCACCGCTTTCGGGAGATCTGCCAGCATGGCACCTTTCGCAATTGCAATCTCTGCGCAACAAGAAGCATCAGTCCACTGTCGCACTTGTCTCGCAAAGACCGTCCTGAGGGGCGTGCATAGAAGGAGTCTGCGATGTTCGTGAAGTTTAGCAATCAGGACATCCATCTTCAGTTCCGCTTCTGCGCAGTTCTTGGCATTTGTGACGATTTCTTTTGCAAGCTCCCTCGTTTCGGCCTCGTAGCTGAAGAAAGAGCTCTGCTTGGTAACCCAGAGATCGACGAACCATGTCTTCAGTCGCTGCGTGACCATCTGCACTTGTTGCGCTTCTTTTTGCAGCACCAACCCGGCTAGCAGATCTTGTTGATAGTTCAAAGTTGCTAGGACCTGGGCCACGATTGCTTTTCGCTCAATCGTGCGTTTCCTCGTGGTCCGGCCCGTGGTTATGCTTTCCTGAAGCGAAATGCAGACCTGGGCAATTTCTGCAGTAAACCATTTCTCATCAAGCTTGTGAGGTCCTGGCAAGGGCTCTGCCAGCCAATGGATTGTCTTTGCCTCGGCACAAAGCAGTGTCACGCGTGCTTTTGCGATGATTGGTCTGCCAATGCAATCGGGTCGTGCGACGCCGGCAAAACACTTGAATCGGGCATGGAGCGCGTGTTGGCACGTCCTGTGGCGGCGACGCGGCTCTCCACATGGCCTTGGCTCAAAACAGTGGCAATTCGAAGGATAGACCCTGCCCGCACTCTGAGTTATCGGCGTTGGCGGGCTGCTTGGGAGTGTTGGAAGGGCAGTCTTGGTCTCTTGCTACACTGGCTCGACTCGGCAGGCAGCAGCGGCATCCGTGTGTCTGCATGGGGGCCGCTGGTGGGATCTTGCACACGTAGCTCAACCGTGGATTTCGGCTTATCGCAAAGGGACTCTTTGCGCCAGCCAGCGCGACCTAGAAGGCTTGGATATGATCGACAAGGTGGAAATCGGGCAGGGCACCCGACCTTCAGTACATCGTTTGGCTTTTCATGTTTGTTGGCCGATGCATGATTCTGCGTGCCATACACGTGCCACGGCGTGGCCTGCTTCGAGCAAAAAGAAACTTGAGCCCCACTGGTGGGGAGTCTGCTACTTCGCGTCACTTGCGAGCCTCGGTTCGGCAGCGCACTTTTTGTTTCTGGCTGCTACAAACGACGTAAGTAATTATGCACGACTGCGTCTTTGCCATACTGAGCACGGCGCCTCTTCTTCTTGAGCAGTGGCTCCTGCCTTGCTTTCGTTTCCTTCTGGATTGCCCGTCGGAGCCGTTTGAAAGTCCAGCACATGGAAAAGATTGCGGAGAAGTTCTTGCCTTTGCTCGTTCGGCAGTCGCCTTTCGAGTGCGCGCTCCAGCGCCCACACACACTTCCATGCTTCGACGAGCTTCTCTATGCTGTCCATCTCCCTGTTCGGCATGGCGTCAGCGAGGGTCCGGATTCTAGTTGTCATTGAAGACTGAAATGGCTGGCCATGGATATGCAAGCACTCATGCACCCTTGCTGTTTGTTCGTCTTCGTACGCTGTAGGTAACCTTGTCGTCTCGTCGTTGGACATGAGCTGTCAGCCTTGCAGCACGGCTTGCTTCTGCAGTGACTGCGAAGCGGTAATCCCTGCTGGAGTCTTGGAACGCCAGATGCTTGCACTGATACGTTTTTAAGCTTGGTGGTATGGGGTTTCGCGGGCTGAACTGCAGTTCCGTCAAAGAAACTCCAAAAGCCGCTTCTTAGCTTGTTCTAATTCACAGACCTACAGACAAATTGAACCGCATGCCAAGCAACGTGGCTGTTCCAGCGTTGGTTTGAAGTTGCAAAAAGGTTCCTGACCCGCGCATCAGGCGGACGGAGTCCACCGATGGGGTGGCCTGCGGTCGCTCTTTTACTCGCCGGATCTGTTCGTTTGGCAACCTGCGCGGGATTGTTGCCTGGCTTGTTGCCGCCAGACCTTGCTGAAACTGGCTTCGCAATGCCGCTGCATGGTTTCTTCCGTTGCGGTTTCATGTGCGCTCTTTAGCCGTCAATGCTGTCTTGAAGTTCGAGTTTGCACCGTTGGCAAACACTTCGGAATCGTTCAAAATTTCCAGGACGCAGCCTGCACTTTGGCCTCCAGACTCGGCAACATGTCGCAGCAGCAGCCATGCGTGCAAGTACAGCTTTCTGTCTGCTTTGTTGGCTTTGCCGCCAGTTTGCCAGATTCCCAGCATCCAGGCCAGCATCGAATCAGTCAGGATCTCCAGTAGCAAGACGCGCAGCAAGCTCAGGTCGTCCAGGGCGAGGACCAAGGTTTGCACCACGAAATTCGCATAGCGGTCTTTCAAGAGCGTGTTGATGTCGTGCTTCAAGAAGGTGCTGCCCAATTCGGCTTGACTGGTTGCACAATTGTTTCCGCACACGGCGCGTTGTAAAACGCGACATCCGCGACTGTCTTTGGCCAGGCTGATGGCTTGGGGCAACAAGGCGTCGAAGAGCTTGCCGGTGGTCTCGCTTCCCGTCAGACACAGGACCAGCTGTAGGCAAAAATTTCCATGCTGGTCCTGGGCAATGTCGGCCAGTGGGACGTCAAGATGTCGAGCGTGGAACAGTAAGGCTTGCGCGAGGCTCTCGGCGTGATTAGCATCTTTATGGAGACATTCTTGCAGAGCACAGCTTCCTCTGGGCTTGCGGACCGCATTCCACAGCTTCATGGCTGCAAAGAGACTGTTGTTGCCGGTCCACTTTTGAAGCAACCGCTCGGCTGCCTGTATATCCAAATCATCCACTTGTTTGGGCGTCCGCAACGGCTTCAGTCGGGAGGTGCTCTCATGCAAGGCTGGGAAGCCTGTGTCGGTCATTGGCGGCAGCTCCACTTGTTTGGGCGTCCGCAACGGCTTCAGTCGGGAGGTGCTTTCTTGCAAGGCTGGGGAGCCTGTGTCGGTCATTGGCGGCAGGGCATCTTTCGTCGTCCAGCAAATTTGTCGGATCGTCATCTGCGGCCACATCTGGAACATTGAGCCTAGTGGCAAAGACTGGAAGGTTTGCTTCACATGGAATCGTCCATTTTCGAAGCTGGCAATTTCTTGAGCACCACGAAAACCGCCCGAAATCGAATCCAGTAAGAAGATGAACCACTGCTGGTCCCCAGTCACCAGCCACTGGCCATCGTCCGTGAACGTCACACGGCAGCTTTGCCCGACAATGGCCTGCATGCCCCGGAAACCGTCGCGGCTGTTGTTGGGCATGATGCACGGAACGGTGGCCATCCTGATGTACGTGGTACAGAGTTGGCTAGTATTCGAGCCGATATCTGTTCGCCGACAGACAGAAGTTGCTGCATTCAAAGAAAGCGGTGTTGCTGCTGGAAAGTTTACGCTGCATAGATCAAACTTGGACCTTGAAAGCGTTGCATGGTGTGCCAGCTAACATGCGAACTGCGAAAGAATCACTCCATTGAAAGCATCTCAGATACTGGTATCAACCCTAGCTGCTTGCATGTTCGCATCTGGCGCGGTGCACTCGCTCCATTTTTCTGCGAGGGCTTGCAAAATGGGCTTTATTTAACCAAGCTCCATAGACGGCCCAAAGTCTGAGCGCTCTCTGGTTGGCGCTCTGTCTCAGGTGGTTGGAAAGCCGCCGAGAGTCCTATATGTAAAACTGCATCCGCACCTTGATATCCAGTGTCCATAGATCTGTGCAAAATGGCCGTGAAGCACACTGCTCATGCCTGCACAACTCCAGACTTTGCCGGTCTACTCAGTAAACTCCCGCAGCATTCGCCACGTCAGCAAGTTTCCGAGGCATTTGGCAGGAACATCGAAGCCTGTGTTACAAGCCTGGCACAGAGATGCTGGCCATGCTGTGCTGCGCAAGCTGTGGAAGAGCCGAAAAGCTGTAAGAAAAGCACGGGCAGGACGTGGCTGAATGAGCACGAGAAGCTTTGCATGTCTGGATCATCAACTTTGCTTTTGCAGCCATACTTACAGTTTTTTTGAACAATGAAGTCGCTGGAGCAATTCCAAGATCGATGGTTGCATGTGCAGCAGCATCCTCCTCAAGCATCGGTTCATGTCGTTGTCGAACCAAACTGAGTCGGTGCAGACTGCTCGGAAGCGAAAGTGGTTGTGTTTCCGTCGAGTTTGCTGGTGCGGTTCAAGTCAGCGTGAATTGTGACCTCTGCTGCTCGGTTTTGCCCACGAACCTCGCACATCTCCCTTTTGGCTACTGGCTGGCGCTGAATGGTCTGTGGGTGAAACGTTCACGCATGGCTGCTTACACTCTTTCGGCACGACTCCTTTCTCATTCATCCGTGTTCAAGCGAGCGTGGTGAGCCCAACACCTGTTTAGGGCGGTGCTTTGGGTTGCGATGGACCGGTTTGGATCGCGTCGAAATAGTTTACGACCTTCAGCATGTGTTCGTAGTCTTCTACCGACACGAAGCATTTCCAGTCGATGACGGTGAGGAATTGCGAGACCATTTTCTCGAGCTGGTGCGAATCTTCCATTCCCGTAGCTCTGGCCATAGTTCTCCAGCTGAGGCATGCGTCCGAGAGCCAGGTGTAAGCGACGACCGTAGCGCTGGCCACCAGCTTGTACGCGGTGGTCGGTTTGAGGAGGCCTGGGCTGTTCCGGACGATGCGTGAGACGAGAATCAAGGCGGTGACGAAAACGCTCTTTGGCTCTGGGGCAGATCGGTGTTGCAGCGCTGTATCGAAGAACATGTTCATGTGCTCGAAGTATTGTGGCATGCTCAGGCGGGGCAAATGAACGGAGTCGAAGCACGTCTGGTGAGTCTGGTAGTGATTCCGGACACCCGTCGAACAGGAGGCTGAAGACTTATTGCTGTGCCAGCTGTGGGTTGTAGAGATGTCTAGAAGTGTTGCTATGACGAGTCCGCAACCATTGCAGACGCGTTGCGTCTCCTTTTCCATAGCAAATCGGGGGTTGCCGACGAGAAAAGCTTGTGCTGCTTGAGCCTCGTGGCTGTTAAGCTTGACCTGTGATTCAATCGCATCCGACGCTCGGAAATCGCGTGACGGGGTGCCATAGTCGTGGCATTTTTCTGTCTTCTCATACAAGTTCTGCGTCACCTTGTGACCAATCGCTTCCTCAAGGCTGCGACCAGGACGGTTTGCCTTGGCACAACACCGGACAAGAGCATCTTGATGGGATCGGGCCGCTGCGATATTTTGCGCTAAGGCCGCTTCCGATACAAGCCGAGCCGTAGCCGACCGCGCAGCAGGACCTTCTCAGCGCTTCCGTCGTTTGCTCTGGCCTTTGAAAAGCGGAAGCATGGCAGGCAGGCTTTTCGGCGCGGTGCTGGCTCGGGCCTGGTCGTGGAAGATCTGGAAGGCAGATGCAGGGATGTGATGAGACTTCGACTCCATTGTTTTGCGAGGGCACCTTGCCGTATGCATTCGGGCGACAGAAAAGCCTTCCTTTTCTGCTACACTGCCTCAGCATTGAGGCAATCATCACCGCGTGCAGAATCGGGCCATTGGAACGAAGGATCTCCTTGTCGAGCCTCGCGGTTTGTCGTGGAATCTGCGCCGAGCTTTCATGAGGGACTGGCTAAGGCTGTTGCTCGTCGACGGGCTGCGCGAGCTTGTCGTAAACGTTGCTCGGTAAGGGTGCATCATCCAGCACATGCCGGACAACGGCAACTTTCGTAGCCAGGTCCTGGCAGTTCGGGACAAAAAAGCTCTGGAAGAACTGCAGTGCCTGTGAGATGCCGGCTAGATGAGGAAGCCGTTGATGCCGCTCCTTAGAAGAGGGAACAGCACTGTTCGTTTTCGGGTGTGTCCGTCGGCTGAGGCTCTTGCCGCCGTTGAGAAACTCTTTCTTGTCGCCGTGGCTGTGTATCTCATGTTGAGCCGGGACGTTTGTGATGGACGCGGACGGGGAAGTCGGGCTCATCTGACAAGATTGAGCCATACGGCAGAAGTGAGTCCGACAGCTTGGAAAATTGGAAACCCGCAAATTGCTTCACCATGCGCATAGCCACAGGACTGAGCAAAGAAGCGTGACAGTGAAGCAGAGGAGAACAGTATCGCCATTTTTGGCTGCTCGAATCTGTGCATCGAAGAAAGGCCAGCAATCGGAGCCGTCGTACAAGCAGCCAAGCAGGAGTTAGAAGGCGATCACAGCGCTGCCAGCATAGTTCTGCATGAAGCCATGATCGCCAGGAGCCCTGTTTTCAAGGCCTCGCGAAGGAGGGCAAAGGCAGCTGAGATCTCCGCCGTGCCCGCGTGCTCTAAGCGAAGCACCCTTGACTGGAGACCCTCAAGCCTGGCATGACTCCTTGAAAGCTCGCGAGAAAGCTCTCGGCGCAAAATCAGGGCATGGTGGGAGTCTTGTTGCTCGAGGTCGTTGGTCCGGGCTGACAAGGCATCCGTTCGTGCATGGATATTTGAGCACATTCCAGTGTTGTACGTCAGACTGTCCTCCAAACGCGACATGCACAGTTTCAAAGCCTGAATGTCTTCCTGCTGTTTCGACACCAAGGCTTCAACATCGGAGCTGGTTCTGACCAGGGCAGATGGGCCGGCGGTCTCAGAAGGCGTAGGAGAGAACTGCTCGATGGGTTCTTCTAGTTCTGCCAGTTCTTCATGCGACGAAGGACAGCGAAGGCCGCGCCGAGAATCTTGCATGCTGGATATGCTTCTTCCTAGTGGGAACCTGAAACAGCAAATCTGCGACGTTTGGTGCATGCATCGGCCCTTCGTGCGGGAGTGGAACTCGAAATCTTGGTTAGTGTTACCCTTGAAAGAAGGCGATGGGCACGGAGCTTGCACACCAATGCCCAAGGCGACAGTTTGCACTTCCACTTTGGGCAGTTGAGTAGCACTCTCACAGAATGGCTTTAAGCAGCACATCCGCAAGTAGTCCTTTGAGTACGAGAGCCCTCTGGTTTGCTTTGGGGAGGCATCTGACAAGCGATAAACAAACCGAACATGTAGACACTCAAAATACCTATGCACACACATGCACGCACACACACACACACAGTGTAGCCGTCATATTAGGAACTTGCACAAGCACTTTGTTTCGAGACATGCCGGCGCTCCGTGCTCAAGCCCGCATTCTGCAGTGCTTGTTTCTGTCTGTACAATGATCGAGCCGAAACATCAGAACTTGTACCGTTTCAGGGTTTTATACCCCCTGCCGCAGCGACAGTTTTCGGTTCAGTCGTCCGGCATGACGCTGTACTGCAACGACAAGAACTTGGAATGGATGCGGGGCACCGCGCGTCTCGGGCTTTTGCAGCAGCAACGTGTCGGCGTGCAGCCGATGTCCGCTAATTGCATCCGTTGTGCGATGCTTGGGGGTAAGCGGCGACTGAGCTTCTCGACGTCGATGCAGTTGAACTCAAGGCGGATCCAAGAGCATGCCTTCAAGTACGTGTTGTCGTCTGCATCTTCTGCATTGGGTGACCCAACCTGTAGCAACAAAGCTTCAGATGCCAAGGTGCACAGCTCGTTGTGACTGAGGTGCACCTCTCGCAAAACGTTCGCGTGCGTCTTAAAGAATGCGGCGAGCGGCCGGGTGCTGCGAAGCCTATTATGATGAAGATAAATGGCTTCCACCGCGCCGTTGATGGCACCCAGGAGCTGCGCAACATCGATTTCGTTCAGATCGTTGTGTTCCAGATGCACTCTCAGAAGCTTGCGGGGCGGCTTCCACACACGAAGCGCAGAGCTCCAACGCTGCACCTCCTGAGGTCCTCTGACGAGGCGGACCAAATCGACGTTGCCGTCCGCACTCAAGCGCTCGCGTTCCGATGGTGTCAGCGCGTCCATGGCAGGCAAGGTCTGCTGGCAAAGAGCTGCAGGAGCACAGGAGCTAGGCTTGAACAGTCGGCTCTCCACACATGCGAGGATGTCTGTAGTAGCCCGATCCATGCTCTCTGATGCTGTTTCTGAACAAGTCACTGGCTCATTTTCCATCAAAACGAAGAGCGGCGCATGCTTCTGTAAGACGGGCGAGAGGATCTGTTCCCGCGTGCCTTGGCTGCGGCCTTTTGCCCACGCTCCAAGGCTACAAGAGCCTGTCGCATGATTTTGTTGAGGCCTTGAGTTGCGGTGAGACCCTTGTTGCGCACGCCGATCAGGATCAGCTGGTCGAGTCCCTCTTTCAGCTTCCTCCAGTTCTCCATCCACGCGTCTGCTTCTGCCCTGGACAAATCGCCTGTGCATTGAGGCTGTGCGACTGGCTTCACGCGGTTAAATTACGCTCCTGCCTTGGGTGTGCTCGACGAGGGTATTGA